CTACTTTTCTTATATTTTTCCTTTGATCATCCAATCCTCATGAACTTAGCTCAGAATTCCCTACAAAAGCATACTTGAAATGTCACTTTTTACATAGAAAATCAATGAATTTTAAAATAACTATGTTTAAAAGTGACATGCAACATTTTATTATTTTTTTAAGGGTTTTCTACTATTTCTAGCATGTTTTCTTTATTAATTGCACTAAAAACTATTGTAAAATACTAGTAAAATATGGATTCATCACTACCCCAAGCTTGAATTTTTGCTTGTCCTTAAGCAAATTAGAACATATCAATGGTGTAAATTCTTATTAATTGGAATCCAAAAACTTTTTATTTTTTTCAAAAAAATTCAGATTAAAAACCTATTTTACTTCAATGCATTCTAATTGTTTTCTCACTAAGTCATTCACCAATTCTTCATCATGATAGTCACACTTGACTTATCTGTTTGTTGCATAATCTCATTCATTTCAATCAAGCAAATCATTAAAGCTACATGCAAACAGAGTTGAGAAATATTATCACAGCTCTCAGAAAGTGTTTCTCTAACTCAATCAGTGTTTAAGCTTGTGTTTGCTCTCAGCATCACCAAATTCATCAAACTCTGCCATAAGCTTGCCTATATTCTCTACCTCCTTTGCAAATTTTCAATTAATCACATATCAAGAGGACTTTTTAGGTAATAATAAGGCTCAGGGACAGCTATGATTTCAATGAATTCAGGATATCAATGAAGCTAATTTCAAACAGAAAAAGATGCAAATTGAGTAGAGAAGCTTTTAAACTTAGTAAGGGCTGCATCAACTGTTTCTATTCTTAATCAACTTTCAATCATAGTTTAAATTTTTACAGAATTATCTACCAATTTCCTTTTCCTTTTTAATTTGCTTATTTCTTTTTATTTCTTTTTCATTTTTCTATTTTTACTTGCAGCTTTTTACTTCTTTTTCATATTTTCTCTGCATGACTTTTTCTAACTTTCTTAATTCATTTCAATCCTTTTCTCAATCCTTTTCTACCCCAAACTTAGAACATTACTTGTCCTCAAGTAATGCATTAGAAACATGATGTTACCCCAAACTTAGTTTTAAAACTTATCTTTGATTCAACTCAATTTGCCTCTTTTCTATTTGAATAGGTAAAATGGTTTTTCTAGAAAAGCTTGTATTGAGGTTAATCAAAGAAAGGTTATCAGCTCAAAGGGGCTAACTAGGACATTCAAGAATGATAGACAGTCTATTTGGCTCACTTGGTAAATCTGAATAATGGCCTCCATCCTTTATGTGATTAGTGCAAACAGCATATTCAGTTAAGAAACAAAGCAAGTTCTAGAGAGTGAATCAGAATTTGAGATCAGTCACTCATCAATGAATGAAAAGGCTCAAGTCTCACCAAGGAAGTAAATGGATAATATTCATTAATTCAGTTCACTATTTACTTCAAGAATTTGCATGAATAAAATGGCAAGACTGCTTTATTTTTTAAAAATACAAGTATGACAATCATGTTAAGAATGGGAAAAACAACTTATGTAATTCAACAATCAGAATTTCAATCAAGTGAAAATCAAGTTTATTTATCAAGAAAACAAAATCTAATGCAGTTTAATATTTTTCTAACTTGTGAATATTTTATGCAAAATGTAAGTTGTACACATGAAAATAGAGGTACAAAATTAAACCCCCATTTCATGGTAGCTGTGCATATTTCAATCATTCCATGCGCTCCTTGTTCAGAGTTTGAGAGCATGGTCTGCACAAAAACATCACAAGTTGTTTATCAATTATCAGATAAAAATTCAATAAAATTCAAAGCTAGTAGATATTTAAAACAGAATTGTTCATAACCAAAATAAAACTAAAATGTAATTACAACACTCAAAAGTCTGAAATTCTAATTACAATCTTTTTACAAAAATTAAACTAATGACAGAAATTTAAATTCCTAATCTACTCTTCATCTTCATCCTCATCCTCACCTTCCAAATCATCATCTTCTTCATCATCTTCTTCCTCTTCTGCAGCAGCTACTGGTGGAGGAAAATGAGTTCTATAGATGGGGAGGTCTTTGAAGACAGTTGACCTCAGGCATTGGGCATTCTCTACTTGATCTGGAGTGTGGTACAATTCTTCTTTGGTCATGCCCATCTTTTGACCAATGTTCATGAGAACACCTTCCAGAAGCATGATGCCAGCCTTTAGACTGTTGTGCAACTCATTCTGCCTCTCAGCTAAGGAGTTTTGTCTTTCAGTCATGAAGGTTATCTTCTCCTTCATTGTGGTTGGATTCTCTCTTTTATACTGGGAGGGAATTGGTGCTACTGATGTGTAAGAGACAGTAGCATAAATCTCCTTCACCATAGCTATTGTAATTGGAGGTGCAGCTTTAATTTTGATTTGATAATCTCCAATTTCAATACTTGCATCCTCACAAAGAACTGTTATTAACGAAGGGAAAGCTAAAGAATCTTTGTTCCTCTTAAGGATGTCCAGAATGCATCCACTAATCACTTCTCCTACATCTATATAAAAATCATTAACTATAACATATAGGAGTTCAACTCTCTTCACTGCTAAAGTGGAGCTATTCCTAACAGGCATGAATGAACTCAAAATAAATGTGCTCCACACTTTTGCAAAGGGCAAAAGGTTCTTGGTTGTGATGCATTTGGGCTTTTCTGATAGATTCAGCTCCCAAGTAGTCCCTGGTTTCCCAATCCTCTCAAGGACTTGAACATAGTCCTTATCTTCAGCATCCCTGAACGCTTTAAAGTCTTGTTGTCTAGGTTGTTTTTGAGTCTTAATGTTAAGGACTCTATTGATGTTAGCAGCAAAAAAATCAACTGTTGTCCCCTTGACCATTGAATGGTATTTAGGCAGCTGATCTCCCTTAAATCTCATGGCGTTGGCATAAAATTCCTGTGTAATGTCTCTCCAGCCAATGCCAGCCATCATGCAGAAGGATTCCCATTCTCTTTTCTGAATTTCCTCCTTGTATTATGGATAATGGTCTTCAGCTATCTCAATTGCTCTATCTTGGACAATCTTTCTTCTCAAGATATTAGCTCTGAAATAATTCTCATGAGCTATGCTCCTGAACCTTGGATCATGTTGAGGGTTTGGCCTTGATGAAGAGGCTCCTGCTAATCTTCCTCTCTTTGTTCTAGGAGTACCTCTAGAAGAGCCAACTGGAGTGTTGTCTGATGTCCTTACCATTTGTTTTTTTAAATTTCCTACATAAAAGAATATTTCAATACCCTGAAAGACATGAATGTAATGCAATAAATATTCTACAGGACATTTTCAATTTCATAACTGATCTCAGAATATCAACATATGAACAATGCAAAACATAAAAAATATCATAACAATGTAGAATATGGTTCCTTGAGGCATTTAAACTCAGATATTCATGATTTTGAATGCAAAATGCTAGAGTTCAAGAGTTACATTTATGCAGAACTTTCTTCCTAACTATTTTTCACTTTAAGTCCTAAGGTTAACTCATGCAATTTGTCAACGTAGGTCTTTTTCCATCTAAAAATCTATCAATTGAATTGAGAATTACTTTACATTGCCTTGTAATTGCATATTCAGATTAGTTATTGACAAGAAAGTTTCTATTTTTCCATTACTCAGTGTTTTCCACAATTCTGCAAAATGAAGAACCCTAATTTCTAAATCAGAGAAGTAAAATACTGACCTGGATTTGGAGAAATGTGCAGAATGAACTTCAGTTGAGTGCTTAGAAACAAATTTCGTTCAGCAAAAGGTCAGAAAGATCAAGAATTTGAGAAATGAGATGAAGAAATGAAGATTTGAGATTCTAAAAATGGCTCTGCGTGGTTCCTTTTATGCATTTTAATGGACACGCTTACTGCATGTGGCCACTTTTTTCAGAAAAAATGGAAGTTGTAGAGATGATGTTGTGTGTGTGTTCACTATTGCTAGCAAAAGTGAACACTTTGAGGGTAAATAGCATGCGCGTGTTCACTATTGCTAGAAATAGTGAACGTTACAGAGGGCTTTGCATTGAGTAATTTGAAATGAGCTACGCGTGTTCACGTTTTCTGGAAAAAGTAATCACGCACATGTAGTATCCTTCTGCGTGATTACTATTCTTAGAAAAAGTGGTAACGCGCATCAACCTTAACTTGTAACTACACATTACTCATGCGTGTGATCACTATTATTAGAAAAAGTAACTACGCGCATCACATTACCTCTATTTAAGCCTGGGCGTAGTTACTTTCACTAGGAAAAGTGATTGTTCCAGAGAAGGGTGTCTTCCAAAGGTTTCTGCGTGTTCACTTTCATCAGCAAAAGTGATTGTTCCAGAGAAGGGTGTTGTTCCCTTCTCCTCTGCGTGATCACTTTCATCAGCAAAAGTGATTGTTCAGAATGAAACCCTGTAATTGAAGCTCTGCGTGATCACTTTTCTGCAAAATAATGACTCCTTTTGTTATTCAAAGCTCCTTAGAAACTTAATTGCCTCATGCATTCAATTTCAATCATCTCATTTATGCATCCACAACATGAGCCTTCATTGAATCAACACATTATTCCTAAAACACATATAAAACAGAATCTAAAATCAGAAAATTGCAGAAATTAAAATAAAGAATTAACAAAAGTTTAAGTAAATTACAAATAGAGTAAAAATGGTTCAGAAATGTAAGTTGTCTCTCACAAAGCGCTCTTTTAACGTCACTAGCTTGACGTTAAATGTTCCTCACTGCTGAGAAACCAAGTTAATGCAAAAAGTGTTCCTATTGAATTCTCCTCTATTGTAAATCTTCAGTCTTTGGCCATTGACTTTAAACTTTCTCCCTTCTCTCTGATCTTCAAGTAACACAGCACCAAAGGGAGATACTTCCTTTACCATAAAAGGTCCTAACCATCTAGACTTGAGTTTTCCAGGGAACAACTTCAATCTAGCGTTGAATAGTAGAACTAGCTGCTCTGGTCTGAATTCTCTCTGCAGGATGAATCTGTCATGTATTCTTTTAGTCCTTTCTTTATACAGTTTTGCATTTTCATATGCAATTTGTCAGAATTCCTCTAGTTCATGTAGCTGTAACACTCTCTTTTCTCCAGCCTTGGTTGAATCAAAATTCAGCCATTTAGTAGCCCAATATACTCTATGTTCAAGTTCCACAGGAAGATGACATGATTTCCCAAACACTAATTGATATGGTGACATACCAATTGGTGTTTGAGTGCAGTTCTGTATGCCCATAATGTATCATCAAGCTTCCTTGACCAATCTTTTCTTGAGTTATTGACTACTTCTCTAAGAATCTTTTGGCAAAGACCTCGAGCTTTTCGTGCAGGTGCGCCAAAACCGTGGATTTGTATTTTCTTTCCTTCATAAGAATTTACATTTGTTCTAATAATCTCTCTTCTACGAGTTCATTTTTTTCATAAGCCTCTTCTATTAGTTTTTACGAGTTTTTGCATGACGGCTAATTAAAAAAGTCACATAAAGAAATCTATTCCAGTCTAAACTCACAATATTTAATTTATTGAATTAATAATTTATTCGTGATTAATCTATTAATCTTCAGTAGTTAAGTAGACTTTTGGTTATGCAAGCTTGATCTTTTATTTGTGAATAGTGATGGGGTGATATGCAGAAATATGCAGAAGTTTGTGTTTTGTTTTTCTCTATTATTTTATGTCATTTGTATGTCTGTGTAGGAATTCAATGATGTGTTCGATGGAGTTAGCGAAAATTTCAATATCAAACTAATGTTTTTACTGTTATTATTTTCAAAATATTGATTATGATTCTCATTATGGTGTTGCAGATTAAACCTGGTTTGAGTGCTTATGCACAGAATCCACGACAGGCAGCGGAATCTCTGATTTCTCTTTTGGATAAAGCGGAAAGTGTTGTTCCTCGAGAGTTTCGCCCCAGAACACCCGTTAGAGTTGGGGTCTGTATTATTTTTATTTATTAAAAAATGTTAACATCAATATTTAGAGTTGATTCTGTGTAACTAAAGTGAATTCCAAAGTCTAAAATGGTTATATATTTTATACATTTTAGTATCCAAATTATTTGTATGATATACTGCAGGCAACTGCGGGTTTGAGGGCTTTGGAAGGGGATGCATCTGACAGGATCTTGCAAGCGGTAAATGATGCTTGCTGCATGTTGTCTCATGTTGAATGCTTTTAGCATATAGAAGCATCCTCAACATTTTAAACTTATGTTGCTTCCACGAATTGTTCATATAAGGTCCGGGATTTGCTTAAGCAAAGAAGCACTCTTAAATCTGAAGCTGATGCGGTGACTGTGCTGGATGGAACCCAAGAAGGTGCTTTTCAATGGGTATGCTTTATGAACTTATTAGTAATTAGTGATTATTAGTATTTGGTTTTAACTTTTGAATGCATTTAGACTAGAGGAGAATTGACAAACTTCTATTAACAATCAATTAGTGGTTACAATGCATTTGCTCTAAAGAGCACTTTATTCTCTGTATGCAGCATCAGTTTTGATATGTATTCATTAACTTATATGAAAATGAACATTTTACTGCCAAAAAAAAAAAAACTAGTTTTAATTAATATTGTATTTTATTTTCATTCTTCTTTCCTACTTAGAATTCTAATAACATGCCAAAATATAAACAAAGGCATAAGATAGGGATAATCTGAACTTTGAAGAACTACATAACTCCTGGTCTTGACTTCTTGTTCTCTCATTGGTGAGCAAAACTGAACTTCACTTATAAATCGTCCACAATAGGGAAAAGGACAAGATATTTTTGAATCTCATGGCCATTGCTTCCTAAAGCAGTCAGCACTTCCGAATCTGCTACTGCTGTGTGTTTGAATGGTTATTTTTGAATCTAAATAATACTCAAGTCTTACCAATGTAAAACATTTCACTAATTGTTCCTCCAGAAAAGTTTCCTGTTCTAAACCTACCTGGATATGCTACATGAGTCAATATGGCTATTTTGTAATCTAAATAATACTCAAGTCTTAATCAATACAGTTATTTTTTTTTTTTCACTAAGGCATTAACCACCGAAGCCCTTTTCTACTAGGTGGAGTATGCTTTGTATTATGCTTCAAATATGCTATTTGAATATGAATCCTCTGCATCAGTTTTGCTTAATACATTTGTCAATCTTATCTTTTCTAGTATGATCAATGCAACATTCTGATAGGTTCAAAAGTGTATATAGCAGGAGAAAAAAGGAAAATAGTTGAAGAATCATAAGTTGGAACTAACTAATTCAGTTAGTTAGAACAACTAGCCCTTTTAGCAATATAAATAAGAGCTCAGGGGTAGTTAGGGACTAGAGTTTTTTTGGAATAGGACTAGGTTGTTTGGAGAGTGAGGTTTCTCAAATTACCTCAGGGCAATACAATTGTGTAAATCTTCCTATTCCTAATCTGGACCACATTGGTGTAGCATTGGGAATTAGGGTTCTGCAATGAAGAGGCATTCTTTGATATTGAGTTTGATAATCGATTCCATTTCATTCTCAGCTTTGCAGCACTTATGTTTTTGTTGGCTTGCATAGGCCAACTCTTAATACTGTTAAGCAATGAAGGCCAACATTTAATACTAGAGGAATGCTAGCAATATACTCTCTAACACACTCTCTCTAACATTTTCTTCACTATTAATTAAAATTTATTTAAAACTAAAGAGTATGAGAGAGAAGCATTAATTTAGGAGTGAGAAAGAGTGAGATCCACATAACTTTTGTAGTTTTCAATAAATTTTAGTCAATAGTGAAATGTGTGTTAGAGAGAGTATGTTAAAGAGTGTGTTGCTAGCATTACTCTTAATACTATTAAGCAACATTGGTCTTGTGGCAGTGGTAAAAGGCTTAAATTTGGTTTTAGTTCTCCAAAAATTCAAGATTTCCCATTTGATATCTCATTTTTAATTTTTCTTTTTCAAAAAGTCTCCCAAAAGTTGTTTTTCTTTTCCATGTGGTTCTTCTGTTAGTAATTTGTTACTTTTCTCCATTATTTACCTATGTTCGTCCAACTTGACTAATAATATGATAAAATTGACGTGGATGATGGTGTGGTATCTATACTTTTATTTCATTCATATTTTCGAATCTCAATTTTAAAAGTCCTAACTTTATAACCTAAAATTTCATTGAAAATACAAAAGATGTGATGTTATTAATGACATCTCATTAATGTCATGTCTCAATTAAATTAATGAGCCAACTCAAATGTTAAGTAAACAAATAACAAAACAAGTTAATAAATTATAGAAGGATTAGATGGAAATGAAAAACAATTTTTGAGGGGCTAATTGAATGAAAGTTAAAAAGGAAGGATCAAATGGGAAAATTGGGATATTTTGGAGAACCAAAACCTTATTTAAGCCATGATAAAATTTTGATGACGTGATATTGTCATAGTAGTCAATAGTGGCTGCTATTGCGGAGGTGAGGAGCGGCAGGGTGCTGCTATCACACTGGCGTTGCGTCACATTCCATTGAAGCGGTTGTCGCACTGCGAATCGTGGCAAAAAATAGAGAAAATCGCAGCCATCACGGCCACTATTTCATTTCATTGAAGCGGTTTTCGCACTGCAAATTGTGGCAAAAAATAGAGAAAATTGCAGCCATCGCAGCCACTATTTTATCCTAGGTCAAATCCCTAGTTTATCTTCCCTTTTTGAACGTTAGACAACCTTTAATGAGGGCAATCTTAGAATTTCGCTCCCTTTTTACATTTTGATATCTTCTTCTTCCTTGTTGAGCTAGCCTTAGCTCTCTTAGTTCTCCTCTAGTTTAACTTCGTTCTCTACGCATCCTCTTGTTTCTAGTGTCCATCTCCAGCGAAGCTTCCAACATGACCCAAATGTTTTCTGGTTGTCTTCTTCATCTCCGGTCATCATCTTTGACTCCAGCAAAGCTTCCAACTTGACCCAGACATTTTTTTATCATCTTTATCTCCGGTGAAAGTTCCGACAAACCTAAACCATTCTCTGTTTTCTATTTTCCTTCTCTGTTTTTTATTTTCTTTCTTTGTTTTCTATTTTATATATGTGTACTTTATTTACATTAGATATATTTAAAACTTTAGAATAGCAGTCATCTTGCTGCTATCTGCTATCCCGTTATAACGTTTTTGGGGTCAACTGCACCACATCGCTTTTGGGATTGACTACTATGGGTATTGTACAATCTCTTATTTATACTTCACCTAATGGAATAAGATTTGGTTGTTGTTGTTGTTGTTGTTATTGTAGTATTGTATAATTTCCAATACTCACCTCCAAAGTTTGCAATAGTGCATGTTGAGCTCCTCCTTAGGATAAAACTAAATTGGTTCTATCTACTTAGTCTTTTGACTTAAGCTCTAAATGTATGAACAATTATATTAGAAATGGATTGAGCTTAATGCACTTCCAAAAGCTAGTTTAAGGGGAGACAATTACACTAGTCTTATAAGGAATATTATGGTCGTATTCCTAACCGACATAGGACTTCTTAACGTATTATACTCATATTTAGTTTCATTGTATAGCTCATATTTAGTTTCACAATTACGTATTTTTCCCTTGTTCTATTAGATATGAATAAAAGTGCTTCTTTTCTATCAACTGGAATTTTCATAGATCTCATTATCTTGTGAAATAGGTTGGTGAGCCAAGTTATTCCTTTCTCTCCAAGGCACTTCCATACTTAGAAAAGTATATTATCTGGTTCAACCACTTTTCCATTGCTGATCCTCTTCAGTGCTTCCTTTACCACAAAGTCCTAAATTCTACAATAGAAGCCTCCTTTCTAGAGTTTGAAATGCATGAGTTCATTACAGTTGGATGCCCTTCATTCAATAACTTTTGAACATAAACCTTCCATTGTTCCTTGATACCAAGACGTCACCTGCCCATCCTTAGTGCATTTTTACATGATCTAACTATCTTGACTTCCTTTTTCCACCTTTAGCAAATCTATTAATATACCTTTTACTGTTTTGGTATAATGCCTCATTCTCACTATGTTAGCCAAAAGCATAAATTTCTGTTAGTTGGTATTGAATTTTTAGGGGAAAAAAAAAAAAAGAGGATGGTTTTGAATGTCCTTATTTATACGAAGCTGATAATGTTAACAAAAAACTTTGATTTTTGTCTGGTACTCTGGTTTACACTATCTGCATAGTATAAATGCGAAAATAAAATAAAATTAGACATTTAATAAAATTTGGAAAAATTGTCTGAATAGAGAAATAATATTGGGATAATAAAAATATTTTTTTACAATTTTATGGGTTATATTTCTATTTTCTGCATAATTAACCAGTTGTACATGCTGTAAAAAATTACTGAATTATTGAGTTTTTGAGTATAGCTTAATTGAGCCTTAAAAATATTTCTCTAATTGAATCCAGTAACATTTTTTAAAAATATTTCCAATTAGATGAGGAAAAAAATGTTTAAAGAGAAACAGTATTAAAATAATTATTTTATCTTAAAAGAATCCTCAGCCACACATTTCTTTATAAAAGCATTAAGCCTTTTCTTCTTCTCCTCTAAGTGTGGTAGCCAAACATCCTTCATCCTTGCACCTCTTTCATTTCTTTCAATTTCTTTTGCCCAAAAAGAAAATCACCTATGTTCTTGAAGTTCTTGACATTGGAAGTTTAAATCTTCTTCCTTTTGATGAGTTTTCTTCTATACATGGAGATTTTTCTTCTATCTTTTTTGTTGATGGTTGAACCTTGAACTTCTTTCATTCCTCATGTGGTGTTTTTGAAATTTTGCTTAGAATCAATGATAAATTCTTAATTTCTTCAAGCGTTGTGTTAGAAACTTCAATCTACTGAGTTTTTCTTCTTTACATGGGAATTTTTCTTCTATCTTTTTGTCGATGGTTGAACCTTCAACTTCTTTCATTCCTCATAGTGTTTTTGAAATTTTGCTTAGAATAAATGATAAATTCTTAATTTCTTCAAGTCTGTGTGTTAGAAACTTCAATCTACTGAGTTTTTCTCATTTAAGTATTTATTTCCTTTTTTCCTTGGCTCTAAAAATTTCCTGCAGCCCCTATTGATATGTGTTTATTTCCTTTTTCTTGGATTTAAGTTCCTTTAGTTGTTTTCATAGATATTTGTAAAGTGTTTATGTTGTATTTGTTAGGTTTTAGTCAAGAACCAAAGAAAACATTTGGAATCCCACTCCACCCCAAGAACAGCCAGGATTTTGAAGTGGTAAAGGGGAGATGTGTTTTCATAGATGGGAAAGTGTCACCTAAATGAGAATGTCCCTAACTCATTGGAATGTGAATTTTAATTTGTTTTGTATGAAATTTGGTGAAATTAATTGTTTAGATTTTGAAATTT